CGGCCGTACAGAGGGACAGGCAGCGGCCGTACAGAGGGACAGGCAGCGACCGTACAGAGGGACAGGCAGCGGCCAGCCGTCCGATTTGGGGACGTCTCCCTCCCGCCCCTGCCCTGTCTCAGGGTGACAGTCGGCGGGGTCGGGGGTCGGGGGTCAGGGTTCCCACCTCCCGTCTCTTGTCCCTCCGAGGAGACTGGGGGGGGAAAGGCAGGGAGGCGGCGTCCCGGGCAGACGCGCCGGCCGGGCCCCAGCGGGGCGGAAGCTTCCAGAAGCGTGGGGGGCGCGGGGCTCGCAGGAATGCGGAGCCTCTGGTCCCGAGCGGCCAGGGCGGGCGGAATGCAGATGCTTATCGCGTCTCTCACCCGCCAGCCGTCACCGGGCGGGACGGCCGCGGCCGCCTTTTATCTGCGGCCATGAATCATCCGGACCGGCCTCCGTTTTCTCCGGGAGGTTTCGAGGCTGGACTCGGGGGCCGGTGCCCGCCTCGCGTTCTCTTTTCTTTTCTGTTTTTTTTTTTTTTATGAGACAGATTCTCGCTCTGCGGCCCGGGCCGGGCTGAGCGCCGCGGCGTCGGCCTCCGAATCCTGGGTTCCGGCGATGAGCCTCCCGCCTCGGCCTCCCTCCCGGGCGGCTGGGGCCACAGGCGGCGTGAGCCCCCACGCCCGGCTCGTTTTTTTGTAACTGTTGTTAATGGGTCGATTAATTTCCTTGTATTTTTTTTTTTTTTTTAGTAGAGACGGGGTCTCGCTCTTGCTCAGGCTGGCCTCGAACTCCTGACCTCGAGCGATCCTCCCGCCTCGGCCTCCCTCCCGGGCGGCTGGGGCCACAGGCGGCGTGAGCCCCCACGCCCGGCTCGTTTTTTTGTAACTGTTGTTAATGGGTCGATTAATTTCCTTGTATTTTTTTTTTTTTTTTTAGTAGAGACGGGGTCTCGCTCTTGCTCAGGCTGGCCTCGACCTCCTGGCCTCGAGCGAGCCTCCCGCCTCGGCCTCCCTCCCGAGTGGCTGGGACGACAGGCACGCGCCTCCACGCCCGGCTCGTTTTTTTTCTATATATTTTTAGATGGTTGATTAATTTATTTCTATTTGGTTTTTTTGGGAGAGACGGGGTCTCGCTCTTGCTCAGGCTGGCCTCCAACTCCTGGCCTCGAGCGATCTTCCCGCCTCGGCCTCCCTCCCGAGTAGCTGGGACGACAGGCACGCGCCACCACGCCTGGCTTGTTTTTTCCATATATATTTTTAGTTGTCCAGCTCATTTCTTTCTATTTATTTTCAGTAGAGACTGGGTCTCGCTCTTGCTCAGGCTGGCCTCCAACTCCCGACCTCGAGCGAGCCTCCCGCCTCGGCCTCCCCGAGTGCCGGGGTGACAGTCTGCGAGGCTGGGTTTGGTTTATCTCTGTTCGTTCAAACGCGGGTTCACGGACGCGCGTGGCAGACGTTTTCCGGGCTCCGGGAGAAACGGGGAAGGGGGTGAAACGGCCGCGGCGTAGACGCTGGAAGAGCCACACGGCTGGGACTTACAGCCACGAGCTGTGTGACCCTGGGCTTGGCGCATGACCTCTCTGTGCCCGCTGCCCCAGTAGGCAGCGTGGAGGTTATGAGGGCAGGGAGGCCGGGCGCGGAGGCTCACGCCTGTCACCCCGGCACTCTGGGAGGCCGAG